CATTATAAGATTTCCTTTTGTGATCGTAATCAAAGAATATCCTGTTTGATCAGAAACGTTCCGCGTCTCCAGACCTAGTACCGTCTCATTCGAGATCCAAATCTGATAAATATTGCAAATGAGAATCGCGCGGATAATCTTTTTTAATGTAATGACAGACATTATGTCAATCAACTGAATATCGCCGGTAGGTAATCGTTTTGCTTCCCTGTAACAAGAACGCTCGTTTCTGCTACTTAATAAAGTACCTTTTACGATACGACATGGGAAACCTACCGCCGTAAAATTTTTCCCCCGAGCGCAACCCCCTAAGGCTACCACTCGATCGGCGGGGCGGCCGCAAACGAGAACGATTTATATCAAACCCCGGACGATGACTCGCGGCGATCGTAATGGGACACCCGGTAGAATGGACCGTAGACGGCGGCCAGCGCGTTTTGCGGTGACAGAGCGTGTCTGATGGAGGGTTGTCACGGTGTGGGAGCACCCCTTAGACTTCGATATTAAAGCCCTCCTCTAATATAAGAGCAAAAGCTTCGCTCTCCACCGCCGATATGCTCGCCTCAAACCTTTTTCCCCTTCTAAAGACAGCGATATCGCGCCTGTGTGTCGTTATATTCATACATGTAAGTCCGATAAAAAAAGGGAAAGGGAAAACTAAAAGGGTAGTCCCGGATTGAAACGTAGATTCATGCATGCATCCAGATTTTTCAACATCGACTCTCAAACCGAAAGGACGTAATCTATTTAAGAGGATATCTCTCTACCTTCTAATTTGTGTGCTTCTCGAGGAGAGGAGTTGGAGGAGAGAGCTAAGCTGGATTAACTCGAGAGTATAAGCATATATCGTGCAAAACATAGAGAGATAAAAAAAATATTTAATTTGATAGAGATAAAATAAAAGAAGATACATGAGAAAAGTGTTGCACAGAATTGTTCATCTTGAAAATATCTTACTAAAATTATCTATATATTATAAAAACAAGTTACTCATCGTGAAATGTAATTCTCTCGTTTCCAAATTATAAAGATAAACTTCAATATTTTTTACGCGTTTACATTAGCACGCTTTATCCTCGCTATCGCATGTTTAATCATCTGCACACACGCGAGCGAGATACCAGAAAGATAAAGAGATACCGAATCGCACGCGCGTTTAGACCAGCGTGCACCCGAATGAAGAAGCGGGAGAAAGCTGAGAAAAGGGCTTATACCCTAACTCGCGTGTGCATGTGTGCGTAGATGTGTGGGGATGCGCGTGCACGCGTTCGAGCCCCTAGACTCGGTTTCCGTATCCATCTCATACGCACCATTGACCTCGAATGCACGTCCGATAGAGCTTCTCTGAACCTCCTCAAAAATCAAGTTATCTCTATTCTCCGCGCATCGTGGCGTTTGGAATAAAACGCGACGTGTCGATATACCGAAGAATCAAACAAGGAATGCCTTACATCTCGCGTATGTAAACCTTTCGAGAAATATTGCAAAAAAATCTATCGCACGAACATCAAAGGTGGGATTTTTCTATTTCGTCGACGAAAATGACGACGATAAATTATCTCGTGTAATCGCGAATTCCTATGCAAATCAATTAATATTATTAAGCAAAATATTCAAAGCGTTCAGAGAAAAAAATGCTCGATTATCCATAATATTCCGATATATAAATTATTCTTTTTTATCAATTTTAATATGTAAATACAAATTTTAAAATCTCAGATTTTACTTTCGCAGAAAAATATGTGGGAAAGATGGAATCGGTACGTATATATGTAATATCAAGATCGATCGTTACAATTTACTCACTGTAAATCTTCTACACCAAACGCTCAGCCATTTGATGTCTCGAATGCGTTTTCCACCGGGTAGCCTCAGGATAATATCTGTGTAGTTGTACGCCTCCAATACTTGTGGGTCGCTGTTGAAGAGAAAAGGGAAAAATAAAAGTAGTAACATAAAACGTAACTGACACTGCTGGAATATAATTGAAGCGTCTATTTCGAAATCATATAAGTTCATAAATTATACTTCTATTTCTGAAGTTTAATCATTCCTGACATTTACTTGCCGTTCTATTTATGTCACGCTGTAATTAAATAAACTTAAATGTCTCGCATGTATCTCTCACACCGTTATAACAAATTCCATCAGTTATTTAAATTTCCCGAAGTTATATAGACTCATCATCGTTTATTATAATGATAGATTTGATTGATTTCACGTCCCTTAATGTCGTCAGCAAATTTGCATGAATGATCAAGAGAGCAGGACCGACCGAGAGAATGGGCCAAAGCGAGTTATGCATGCAGACAGGGATGTAGAAGGTCGAAAAGAAGGGCGCGGGTAGGAAGTGGCGAGAGTGAGTTCGCAGGGCGAACGCGCGGCAGTCCGTAACCAAGGGATGAAATGAAATTCAAAGAGCCTGTTGTACGCGCGGTCGTATATGCGGCAAGAGGCAGCGGGAGGGGGTGAAAAACAGAAGGAAGGCCGAACGAGTGAGTCGTGCGCGGGAAAGTGCAGTTAATAAAACGGGAATTATACGCCAATCTCGTTCGGATTTCATCTGCGCGAGCACTTTATTACGTTT